CCGGAGACCGCGGCAAGCGCTTTGGGGTGGGCCCTCGCTGGGGAAAGCGAGCCTCCTTACTTTGGGGAAGCAGGGGTCCGCGAGGCCCCGCCTTCCGTACCCGTTCCCGCTCGTCTTCAGTACCCACAGAGCTCAAGGTGCCCGCACGTAACCGCAAAACCCAGATCTCCCGAGGCTCTGATGGGCGGGGCTGACGGCGGGACGTCGGCGCTACGCGTGACGTCAGCACGTCGGCGTTGCTTCCTAGGCGGGAGGGGGTGCCGGTAGGGGACCCGCCGGGTTCGTGGAGAGCTGGGTGCCCTCGCGCACCCTACCCTGGGATGGTCGGTGGGAGGGGAAAGAGTGCGAAGGAAGAGGTTCAGTAAAAGGGAGAAACTAGAGATGAAACCGAGAGTTGCCTGAAAGGCCTCCATTGAAGTGCGAATGGTACTGAAGCGCTGCCGAGCTGTTTCCCTCCAACGGCGAGTCCCGCCCGTCCCGAGCGCTCGGCGAGAACCCAGGAGGGGCGCCCTCAACCGGACGGACGAAAGGAAGGGACAGCGTGCAACCGGGCCGTGAAGGGCTGTGCTGGAGGGCTGCGCGGCGTGTGGGGACGCGGGATCGCCGTCTCACCAAAGAAGCGGACCGAGCCGGACGGGTGGAGGACAGGAGCCTGCGAGCGGAGCGCCCGGTGCTTAGTGAGTTAGAGGACGCGAGGGCCCGGAGAAGCCGGCGGGCGGCGGCGGGGGGTCCGAGCGGCCCGTCGAGGGGACCAGAGGTTGACCTTAAAGTATGAGGCAGCCTTGGCCCTTAGAGAGACCCCCTGAGACGCCGATGTAAAGCCCCCTCTGCAGGAAGCTGCAGCGGGTAGTCGTGTTTCCTCGTCCAGTTTTCAGTCGAGATGAGTCCCCAGACCACGGTCATGTCCGGCTACGGCGGACCAGCCCAGCCCCAGGCTACTGAACAGCGGCTCCGCGGCAGTCAGCTCCCGTACCGGCCTCGCAGTTTCCTTCCTCGCAGTTTCCTTCCCGCCCAGCGCCTGACAGACTCCGCGTGTCAGCAGAGTCGATGGACTCCGATGTCTGTGTTTTCACTTACAGGCCAAAAGCCTATGTCTTTGCTAGCCCGAGCAGCATGTTTCTTGGTAAAATGTTTGCTTAATTTTGATTGCTTCACTACTACATTAAGAAAAAAAAAAAACATACTAGCAGACTGCGCGCACTTGTAACGTTATGAGTGGGTGAGGCTATAAAACTCAGCGTATGTATATGTGCATATGTGTGCGCGTGCACATGCATAGAATCACCAGCAAGGTGACGACTACATGGACTAATAAAGTGAGTTGTACCGGCAACTCAAACTCAGGATTAATATAGCCATTAGCGATTTTCTGACAGTCAACTATTATTGGTAAAATGCAGAACAAAATTAAAAATATTCTTTCCTCGATTTACATCGTTTATATATTCATGGAAAATTCAATGTATTAAAATTGTCAAATGTTATTTTTGTATAATGGACTGAGTTCCTACACTCAGATACTTATCAAGAGTTTTTTCGTCTACATGAATGTCCAGCAGGACCATTCTTTTGGTGTGGGAAATTGACCTGTGTGTATTTCAAGATGTTGCTCACACTACAAATGCACGTAAGTGCCTTTGACTCATTGTAATGACAAAATGTCCCCATATATTTCCAAATGTGTGGCAGGGTTGGGGGGGG